TCTCATTGTCCCTCATGTATGCACGCAAACACCTCTGCTTTTTCCTGCATTGTTTTCTGCTCTTTTATACACTAATGATAGTCCCTCGATGCAGTGATCATTTGTAATGACCAAAACAATAGCAAATGTGTTTTTCTGTTTACATAAACTTCACTGTATTTATTTAGATAGCACCAAATAACACATATTTGCAATATATGCAGGTTAGCTCATATTTAACATGTGTGAGAGAGTGCAGCAATAATGTAGGATTGAAGAAATCACTGCTCCTGTGGTGTAATCCTACAGTAGCCCATTGTCGAGTATTTACACAAAGCGTGCGTTTGTGTGTTAATAAGGTGTCCAATCCAGCAACATCATACCCAGAGAAGAGCCTCAGACAACCCCCCGTTTCACGATCCCCCCAGGTCCAATCTGCTGACTGGCTTCTTTTACCTGTCTGTCGCCAGAGGCTGATGCTAAATGTCACTGACACTAAATCGCCTTTGTTAAGTCAAACCTATTTTAATTGTGTCACCTGTGATTTGCGCCTTGCGTGCAGCAAATACCGTGTATCAAGTAGAAGCAGAGGCTTCACAATTTGCTGTGATATATTATTTTTTTTGAAAACATTGAAGTGGAATGAAAAGTCTGACAAGCCCAATGCCAGCTTGGGAGGATTGTGATGTCTGCTGGCATTCCGGCGGTAATGCCGCATGAGTGGAAAGGGAATCAAATGTCTCCATGCTGGCACTCAACATATTGTTGGTCTCTTTGATTTAGTGTACAGCATCCAGGAAAATGTCATTGCGTCTCTCCATTGTGCAGACTTGACATATCCATTTTGCAACTGTAAAATGCAAAGAAAAACAAAGCAAAATACCCGAGATGATGTCTTTATGCCACGCAGACAGATTCCCTGTGATGCATTGCAGTTGCTTTTTGCAGGTGCCTTTTTGGTAGCAGACATACTAAAGCCTTTCCTGTCAGTCTTTATGATTTTTAAATGTGTCAAAGTGATAGAGCTGATCCATCCACATTTATCTCTTGTCTTGCTATTTCTTCATTTACAAATGTTTAAAGATGGTGTATAGTTTGTCAACAGTCCTTTAAATTAAAAGGCAAATCACCTCATTCCCAATAAGATGAGTGTAGCAAAAGGTAAATAAATGATGTGTCTGTATCAGAGACTCTAGCATACAATGGTGAGTCTGATCTCCAACCAAAGCTGTGGTGGTGTACTGCAATCATTGCAAGCTCCGACTAGACATGTAATGGCAACCATCACAGGTGCAGGGTTTCACACACAGCGACAAAAAAGGAACCTCGATCATGATTTAAAATAGACAATTCTATGTTTTGTTTTACGTCAGCACAGAACAACACCACAGCGACTTGATATTACACGCTGATAAAGCGTGCAGGCTCGCTCAAAATACAGCCGACCCAGATTTAAGTTGGATCACATGATACTGCATTGTTTACAGGTATTATTTCTTGCTTACTTAAGAGTTTGCAAATCCGATTAAAGGCAGATTAGGTCGATGGTTTGCATTACTATTATTTTAGCTGAGATCACTGCTTCAACAATTAAGTGCCTGCATATCCGTGTCTGTGTGTGCGCGCACATGCAGGGTTTTGTCTTGAACTCTGACTTCAGGAAGTCCCTGGTCTCCATCCAATGGTGAAAGGCCTCCCAGATTCCCCTTCTCTCCAGTGAGGTGGAATACTGCCGGAAGATTACCATATCATTACCATATCATTAGCATAACATTACTGCGGCACAGCTTGGCTCACTGTCTGCGGACGTGCTATCAGCTCATCGAGAGATTCAATCCCCAATCCGCTCCATGCTTCCACCCTCCATCCCCTCCCCTCTCCTCCCTTCCCTCCCTCTGTACACTCGAGGTGTGTTTTCCATCTGAGTAAAGCAGATGTAATTGAGGTAGAGCACTGGATTTACCGGCTAAATGAAATCACACAATGCTTCACGATCAGCCGGGGCTGCTGTCGTACACATTCAGAGAGCTCCTTCTCTGAAAATGTCGTAGCGCTGCACCCGATTCAGAATTTCTAATATCCTCTCAGAAATAGCCTCAGTCAGATGCTAAGCTATGTCAAGCCTTACTCTGGCTGGATTACTCCAGGCTGTTATATTATGACCAGGTGTGTGTGCGTTGGGCAAAAGGAAAAAAAAAAGCCGACCTGCCACCATCTTCTCCCTCTCCCTTTCCTCTCTGTTTTCTGTACCGAAGGGCACCCAGGGGCGCCAAAAGGGACACCAATCCTCTAATGGTTGGGAGTGAGGGCCCATTCCATTAGTCAGGGGGCCCAGAGTTCATTGCTGCTCCTCAGTACGAGGAGGGCGGAGGAAGCGAAATGGAAGCAGGTGTTGGCCGGGGGCAACTCAGAGGGCAACGCTGCACCAGCTGCATGCTGGGAAATGCAGCACTTTTTTCTCCCTCATCTCCTCTCCTTCTCTGCCTATTTCTATTTCCTCACACAAGTACAGCAGCACACACCTTGTGCATACAGCGTGCACAGCATATATACATACACACACACACACTCACACACACACACACACACACACACACACACACACACACACACACACAGACTCCCTATCACCCTCTTTTGTCCCCAATTTCATTCATTCCAATAAGCTATTCTCCATTTTCCTTATCTCTTTCTTTCTCTCTCTCAGCCTCACACACTCATTCACTCACTCACTCATTCACTCACGCCTATCTCCATCTCTTTCATTTTCGCTCTCTCCGTTTGCTTACTGCCCACCCCTCCCCTCACTCCATCTTCGCACATACCTCACTCTCATTTGTAAATGGAGAGAGGACTTGACTGAGGAATATGTGGAGAAGATGTGGTTTCCCTCCCAGGTGGGAAACTCTGGCGGGAGATGAAGGTAGAGAAGAAGAACGAGAAAGAAGGAGATGGGGGTGAGAAGGAGGAGGAGAGCAGAAATTATGCTACCACTCCCTCTCTTTCTCTTCCTCTGCCTCTCTCTCTCTCTCTGTGGGCTTAGATGATGTATGGCAGCAAAGGCCACATGTTGGCCGAGTGATGGATTAAAGCACTTTGTAGGAAAATTACTGAGAGCGCCTCAGCACATCCGAGTCTAGCCCTTAATAAAACTCTCTTCAATATTGAAATGGAGAGAGAGAGGGAGAAATACAGAGAGATAAAGAAGATAAAGGACGATGTGGGACGAGAACAGGGAGTGGTGCTAGAAGCGCACAAACATACTCATTCTCAATGCTCTTGTGGAACACTGAGAAATTTTACAAAATTGAACATTGTATATAGCTTTACTGTTGGATTTTACTACACGGTTTTGTTTAGTGTGAGTTCATAAAAAGATCTGAGGAAGAAGTAAGTGAAAGTAGACAAGATTCTCTGAAGTAGTTGTTAGAGGAACTTTTTGAACATGTTTGTCAGACGGTTGCTGTTGGGTGCGTTGTATACTGTAGTTTG